AAAAAAAAAAAAAAAAAAAAAAAAAAAAAAAAAGTTGAAGAGTGACTGTTCATACAACATAAACTGCAAAAGGGTATCAATCTCAGCCATGGCTGCCACCCAATAAACCGGAAATTCGACGATAACCCAGAGAACAATAACGGGTCGGATCCGAATCAAGACCCGGTAAATTTGTGCTTACCGATTCACAAGAAGATGACTCAGAAAGGAGAACAGGGGGCTTTGGGGGAGGTAAAACCCACAGGCCACAGTGACGGCTGGTGATGAATGATTGAGAGCCGTTCCTGCAATTTGTACTACCAGTTCGACACGTGTCACCGTACGAGTGGGGGGAGCAAGTTGGGTCCCACACAGGGTAGCTGAACGGCCCAGAAAAATCTCTCGCGGCAAACGAATGAATACACATGAAAGAGATGTGTACTTGTGTGACAGTGTGAGTGATGGTGTCGATTGTGGGGTCCACGGGGGTTGGGGGGGAGGTGGGGGTAGGGGCATTCCTGGGAAAATTTGAATGCACGGCTGAGGTTGCAGTTGGGCCTGATGGGATGGGGCCCATATTGATTGGAAAGTGGAATGCCAAATGAAATGGGCTTGGAGTTGGACAGATTGACTACTATTCTTTCTTCGTCATTTTTCGTTTGGATTTTTATTTTTTTATTTTTTTGTTGACTAAATATAACTTTGGGTAAAATTGTATCAATAACTAGTATTCTACCTGTGTATTTGAACAAATATAAATAAAGTATTATAAGTTATTTATATGTATATAATCTTAAAATTATAAGTTAGATAATGCAATTAAATTTTAAATATAGAGTATTATAAGTTTTATTTATGCATATAATAATAAAATTATAAGTTAGATAACGGTACTATGTTATAAAATTTTATCATTGAATATAATAAATAGTACGTTACCTATTTGATTACATATGAATCACTATATTGATTGCATAAAATATGATGAATAATATAATAGTTGTAATTTGGAGAGATGAATTAATTCACTAAAAATATTAAATTTATTATAACAATTGATTTTAAGGGATTTTTATATGAAATTAAAATAAACCAATTTATTTTTAAAAAAAAAACACTTAATCAGATAAAAAGTACAATACTTATTTTAGAGTAAATAACATGAACAAAACGTTTTACAATATAATGTTTTATATTTATCTAACTTTAATATATTATTTAGTGTAAAATATAATTATTAATTCCAATAATAACTATTATATGATACAATCAATTAATATAAAAACGATTTTGGTCTTAATTAACAGAATAAGCTTTGGAAATTTAGGTTTCACGTAAGTATAATTTATGAGGTAGAAATTATAAGGTTTTATTTAATAGATTACTAGCACTTATATACATATAAACAAAGGCTTAAATTATATGGCTCGGAACGTTACAAAAAGAAAATGAATACAGTGGAAAGAAAATAAAAATTGACATTAATGTTAGAATTTTGTTACCATAAAATGCGGGAAATCCAAATAGTTTTATTATATTGTTTTGCTATATATAATTATTACGTTTCGAAAAAAAAAATGTATTTATTTTACAAAAATCAACTTTTTAAATACACTTTTAAAAATATTTTACCGATCACTCAATATTTAGGGATTCATTCCATATGTCAAGTTTGCAATGTATAATCTCAATTCTCAAAAACTTCACAATCTCAATTTTCAAAAATTCGTGTGACATAATTGAAATTCCAAATAAACAATTTTCAAGCTTATACCTTAATATTTCCTCTTTGGAATTGAATGATTTGCGGTAAGGATT